GTTGGGCAGGCAGATGGGGTGAGCCTGGGCAGTTGGGATGGTGAGGGATAGAGTCCAAAAGTTCCAAAGTGGCTCCCAGGCTTCAAGCAGGAACTCACCCTAAAGGTCTGCCCAGACTGGCCTCCTGAATAAATGTTTCCAATTATTTCGGGTATATACAAGGAAGTGAAATTTTGGGTAATGCGATAATTCTGTTAATTTTTAAAAATAATTGACATGCTTTGGCTGTCGTAGTTCATATTCTCACCAGCAGCATTTGGTACCAGGATAATACTGGCTTAATAGAATGAGTCAGGGATAATTTCCTCTTCAGCTGTTTTGATTGTGTGTGTGTGTGTGTGGGTGTGTGTGTGTGTGTGTTTAAAGTATAGCAAGGAATAGGTACCTTTGAATTTTTTTTCTTCTTCAATAACTGGAGAGACAGGAAGAAAATTGAGAGGCGCCCCCACAGGGTGTTCAGACCACGCTCCACTCAGTGGATAAGTGTTCTAATTAGTAGCAACTGACCGAGTTCTGTTCTTAGTCCCAGCTAAAAATAAAACTGTTAGTTGGGTCACAGGTGGTGTGGAGGGTAATGTGGCTGGATCCCATGTGCCCAACTGTGTGATTCAAGTCCTAGACCTGGTGGTAGGCCAGGTGTGAGTGTGCATGCCCCAAGTCCAGAGAGGAGATGGACGAGAAGGGATTACAATGCGGCTATCCCCCATGGGGTGTGTTTCTCACTTTCTCTCTCTCCTGTGGGTGCCCAGGCTGTACAGCAGAACTAAAAACAAAACAAAACAACCAAATTAGACCCATTTGGAAAAACAACATGGACTCCCAGAACGGCCCCCCAAGAGCCAAGGCTACATCATCTCTCACGTCCAATACACCACTGGGCTCAGGGTAGAGAACACAGGAGGGAGCTCACGCTCAAAGAGTTTTGTCTCCTTTCCCCTCGGACCTCCAGCATGACCCAAGCATCTTGTCTGCTGTCCTGTAATGTCCCCAGACTGAAGCCTAGAGATGGTCATGAGACCAGGGAGCCAGATCTGGACCCAGAGAACTCCCTGAGATGCTGAAGGCCAGTTGTTACAGTAGTGGTTTAGGGGCCTGGGGATTTGGCCTGGGTCCTGCAATTGCCAAGATACTGGCATGAAATGAAGTATTTGGTAAGCACTGTTAACGTTGCAGAATAACAACAGAAAGACAGAAGAACCCTGTTACCTACTGTCCCATCTCATACAATTGGGTAAATTTGGGAGGGCATCAAATTTCCTTGACTCCATTTTCTCATATGTTTTTGCATGTTTTACCCAAGTCATGCAATTGTCGTCCCACTATCCACCCAAGTATTTCTAATTGTATTTGTGGATTCCTCTGCTCTTTACTGAAATGTTGATCACACATTCACAAGGTCATAGTAAATACTGGGTCTCTAGAAGGGTCAGAGATGCCCAAGTTCAAGACCTAGAGCTGAGTGTAGATGGGGTCACTCGCTTCGCTCTTGGTCCCTGATCTCCCTAGAGGGACACTCCTGAGACTGCCTACTGTCATTCCATACATGACCTGAGTGTGCAAAATTATTAGCAAGGGATAAAGTGATCATTTGAACTCAGGAGAATGAAGAGATATTCTCACATGTAGAGGTCCTAGGTTATGAGATACCAGGTGAGGAAGGGACAACAGAAGTCACCCAAGTGCAGAAGAGGTCCCAGGGAGTGCAGCAGTGAGGGGACCAGGGAGAGATGGTGCATGGGAGGTATAAGTCTCACTTCCCCGTGTGTCTGGAGCACCGTGTGAGTTATCAGGGGTGTTGTGATATGTTTGACAGTAATAGTCGGCCTCATCTTCAGGCTGCAGCCCAGAGATGTGCAGAACCCCTGCACTAGCCAAGACGTCTTTGGAGGCAGAGAAGCGGCTGGAGACCTCGGGGCCCTGGTGCTTGTCTGAGTCTGATTTGAACCTCAGGAGATACTGTGGGGGCTTCCCCGGCTCTGCTGGTACCAGTTCATGTCGTGGTTACTAAGTCCAAAGCCGCTGCTCAGGGTGCAGGTGAGTCTGGCAGATGCTCCCAGAGATGCAGAGAGGGAGGGCGGCTGGGTCAGCACAATCTCAGAGAGGGAACCTGTGACACAGACACACATGAGGGGTCAGGGACAAAGGTCAAGCCGCTGGGAGATCTGAGCCAGAGGGCACTGAGTCAGGCCAGGCTGCTCCCGAACATGGGAGGCCTGTCCCTACCTGAGAAGTGGGAGAAGAGCAGGAGGAGGACAGGGGTCCAGGCCATGGTGAACACAGCACTCCTGAGGTCCAGGCTGGGGCTGGGCTGCCCCAGGCCTCTCTTATCCCCTCCCCAGGGCTTCCAGAGGAGGAGGATGGATGCAAATGTGCACCTGCCCTTGCCTGCCCCTCCCCACCCTCCCTGGCATTTCTTCAGTCTCTAGTTCTGGTGACTGGGGACCCGGCAGGCAGCACCTGGGGGTGATCAGTGCTGGGACCACACCCAGAGAGGCCCAGCTGCTGAGCCTGCATCAGTGAGCTCAGCTCCCATGGGCCAGCCCTGGGAGTGGGGAGGGCCCAGCTGTGGGCACCCCTTGTGCAGCCTGAGACAGATCCACAGCGCCCCCTGCTGCCCGGTGCACAGACTGCAGTCTCTCAGGGGGAATCCAGGCAGTGGCTCAGCCTGAGAGCCTGGTCACTGTCAGTTCAGGACACCCACAGCCATGTGGCTGTCCTGCCCCAAGGTCGCTGCTGCTAATAAACGGCATCACCTAGCACATGAGACACGATTTCAGGACTTCAGAAGCCACCGGATAGCACTCTGACCATTTTATCTGTTTCTGTATTTCCGTTCCTCCCTCTACTCCCTCCCTCCCTCTGTCCTTCCGTCCTTTCTCCTTTTTTTTTTTTTTTTGTCCTCTCATTCAATTTCTTTATTTTTCTGCCCACACTTGTGTCATAGCCAAGAAATAATCCAAATTCCTTGTGGTGAGTCTTCTCTCTGGTGTTTTCTTTTAGGATAGTTAAAGCTTTTGGTCTCATGTGTTGGTTACGGCTCCGTTTCACATCTGTAAGAGAATATTCACTTTTCCCAACCGCGGTTGCTGAAAAGACCGTTTTTTCCCTAGTGAAGGTCTTGCCATGCCTATGGAAAAAACCCACACAGCCGTGTATGTCGGTGTTTGCTCACAGGGTCTCTATGGGACGCCATTTTTTTCTGTGTATGTGTCTAACTACACGTCACTATCGCCCTGTGGGGTTTTTTTAAATGTTATTTATTGGACTCTTTGCATTGCCAGAGGACACATGTGCTTCCAGGGACAGAGAGAGAAAGGGCAAAAGCTCCCCTGCGGGGCGTGGTCACATAGCTAACTGTTTTCTTTCATTCCTCTTCTGGGCAGGATTTCAGGCATGCGTATTTGGCTTATTTTTCAAGTTGCTGGGCCTGGGTTTTCAACATAGATTTGGAACCACGCTCGGTCATGCAGGATCAGGATCCCTTAACCACTAGGCTCCACGCCTGGCCCATGGCGATGTTTCCTGGTTTAAAATATAGGCATTTCCCCCCCTCTCGATGTAATTTATTTCCTAGCATTTTATTCATTTTCATATTATAAAGTGAATTGTATTACTAGTTTCGTCTGTGGTGGTTTATAACTCAAGGTACGAGGTCAGCATCGATTTTTTTTTTTTTAGAGGTTTTTGCTATAGGGCGCGTACCCTCGCCAGACAGACAGAGAGAGACAGAGAGACAGAAAGCGAGAAATCACCCCCCAGGGGGGCTGGTCAAGCCGCAATCCCTTCTCCTCCATTCTCCTCTCGGGATCTTGGGCACGCACGCACACACGCCCAGCGTGAGTTTTAAGCCACCCGGTCCGGGACGTGAACCGCGGTCGACAGCATGGGACTCCAGCGACATAGCCATCACACTAACTGCTGGTCCCCCATCTTCATTTTCCATGAAACATGTGTTATTACTTTTTCTTTTTAAGTGTTGGCACATGTGCTCACTGGAGAGCAATAGAGACCGTGAGAGGGAAAGTGAGAAATCAACCCCGATAGGGGATGACCAGGGCACACTCTCTTCCCCATTTTCCTCCTGGGATTTTGGGCATGCACGCTCACAGGACCAGTGTGATTTTCAAGATGTCAGATCCAGGACTCAAACCAAGGTCAGCTAGGAGGGAGTCCAGTGCCTTAGCCATCACACCACGGGTGGGTCCCCATGCTTACTTCGACTGCTGTTTTTATTTCTGTCCTCTGTGTCCCTTCAGATGATGTCAGCTTTCTGAGAAAGGAGCCCTTCCTGCCTTGTCTCCACTGCGTGCTGAGCCCTGCAGCCAACTCTAGAGCCGGGTGCACAGTAGAGGCTCAGTAAATGGGGGAGACAGATGACCTCCAGACAGTCGGCCCTCTTGGGTCAGACCCTGTATTCTGTGTCCTCAATCTTCCCTGAACCTTTTTTTTATAAAAATATTTTACTTAACTTTATTTTTATTAGTATTATTATTATTTCTCAGTTTGATCAGACAGAGAGAGAGAGAGAAAGAGGGAAAATGAGAGAGCAAGTCACCAGGTCCAGGACCTGAACCATGGTTTGTCATGTGGGAATCCAGTGCCTTTAGCTACCATGCCACCTGCTGGTCCCAATCTTCCCTGATCCCTGTAAGGAGTGAGTTTTAGGCTCCCAGTACACATGGGAACCTCACCCCCAATCTGTCTGTATTGTGGATTGTGTCTCTGTGAAGGCCATGAGGGTTAGTGAGGTCCTAATGGTGGGGTCCTAATTCCTGAGACTGATGTCTTTATAAGAAGCTGGACACAAATCGTTCAATTCCCAGGGGTTCACTATGTGGGGGATGCAGCCAGAGACAGCGACCTGCAGACCGTGGAGGGAGGATTCAGAAGGAACCAACCTGTTGACAAGTGGACCTGGACTTCCAGGTTCTAGACCTGAGAAATAACTATTTGTTTATGAAGACACCCAGCCTGTGACATTCCCTGTGGGATCCTCAGATTTAGGGATTATTCCCAGATTCCAGGAATATCCTCTGAGATAAACACACATGTGTTATTGTTAAACATTGGAATTGGGTGGGGGACAGAATTGGAGAGGGTGAGGACAAGTTCTCTAGATACGTGCCACTGGACAGGAGCCCAGGCCCCAGCATCAGAGCAAACAAACCAAGGAAGCAGCTGACTTCACCCCAAGCCAACAAACCAAGGAAGCAGCTGACTTCACCCCAGGTGGGTGCTGAGTCAAGAAGCCCGAGGGCTGGGCAGACAGCAGTTCTTGTCTCACTTCCCCCCTGGCCTGGAGCACTGTGAGGCCATCAGCATTTCTGTCCCAGGACTGACAGTAATAATCAGCTTCATCTTCAGCCTGGAGCCCTGAGATGGTCAGGGAGGCTGAGATTCCAGATTTGGAGCCAGAAAATTGGTCAGGGACTCCTGAGGGTCGATTGCTGTTACCATAGATGAAGAGTCTGGGGGTCATCTCTGGGAGCTGTTGGTACCAGTGCACATCATAGCCATACCCGATGTTGCTGCTGCTTCCAGTGCAGGAGATGGTGACCCTCTGGCCCAGGGCCCCAGACACTGAGGACGGCTGAGTCAGCACAGACTGGGCCCAGGACCCTGGAGGTGGGAGAGACACAGAGAGGGTGATTCTGAGTCTAGAGACAAGAGGAGAAAACAGGGCCCATGATCTCCCTCCTTCTTTCCCCTGGCCCCATATCTAGTCACCTGTGCAATGAACCAGGAGGGTGAGCAGGAGAAGGGACCAGGCCATGGTGGAGGATCCCTGAGTCCTGCTTTCTGGATCCACCTCTCAAGCAGAGCTTCCCCCAATGTCTCCCTTCCCCTCTTCATACTCTGACGGGGGGTAGGGCCCCTCATGCAAATGAGCCCCCACCCCCAGCTTGCTGTTCTCACCTGCCCTGGCTCAGGCCCTTCTGCCTGAGAATAGCAGGGTGGGAGGGGTGGGGTTGTGTGGGCACAAGGGTGGATGGTCCAAGCTGGAGCCCTGAGCAGAGGGCAGCAGGCAGAGCCAGGTGGGGGCTCCCAGGTCTGATCATGCCCAAATCATCTAATAATAGGCCTTGAGCGCCCTCTTGTGTCCAGGCTCAGAAATAGCATCCTCTGACCTTGTTACCAGAGCCCAAGAGACAGCCCTGCCTCCTCATGATTGATGTCTACTGCCTTCTCCCTGGGGGCCAACCAGGCCCCATTTTGTGACTCCTGGGAGCTGTACCTGCCCACAACCCCCCATGCCTTTCACAGGTCAGGACTGAGCAGGTGTCTGTCACACAGAGATCTCTCAGGTCAGGCTCAGTCCAGAGCAGTGACACCCCTGGGGACTCACTTCCCAGCTGTGCAGGATGCCTGGTCCTTTCCTGTCCTGCTTCCTCCCTGCTGGGACTCCTGCTCTTCCCCAGGAGGTGACACGGGGAAGGTAGAGGACAGAAAGGCTCCTCTTGGTGTGATGGGCAGGACCTGGAGGAGGCAGGTGCCAGGACCCCACGCAGAGACAACCAGCTGCACAGGCTGCACCAGTGAGCACAGGCCCACTCCCTGCTGTGCCCCCCAGGCCTGCCGTCCTTCGACGACTTCACCTGTGGACACGGCCCGGAAGCCTGCCATGGCAGCCCAGCTGACCACATGTGGAATCTAGTCTTCTGGGCCTCCCAGTCTCTGTTCTTTTTACGGCATCACTGTGGCTCCACAGGGAGGCTGAGGGTTTTGTAGGACCAGAGTGATGCTACTGAAATTAGCAAGCGCTGTTTCCCAGGGGCTTACGGTTTCAAAGGGGAAAATGCCGAGCGTCAATATTAACACAGGAACTATAAACCTGGAAGTGCCGCCCTAGACACGCTCAGGACTTCGGGAAGGATGGGCCCCGGGGGACACCTGGTACTCAGGCCCTGTGCGTAGGTCCATTTGCTGAGGAGGAAACTTGCTGAGTACACCCCGGGGACCAGATGGCGATGCAATGGGGGTGTGCCACTGCAGGACTGGCCCCACACGGGAGGGCCTGGGGTCCATGTCCTGAGGACACCTGGCACAACAATATGTCCCCATAATCCAGGCACAGTGAGCTGGAGTCGGTCACCGTGGAAAGACCACCTTGTGGGTGCCTCTGTCTTTTTCTTTCTGTCGCCATCTCTGTCTCTCCCTCATGGAATAAATAAATAGATAAATAGAACTTCCTAGATTGGATAGAGAAGAGAAAAATGTCTTCCCCACGATTCTGGAGTTGTAGAGGTGAAGTCACAGCTCCGGCACATTGGTATCAGCTGAGGGCCTGGTCCTCACACTCACCGTCTTCTCACTGTGACCCTCACGGTCACACCTGTTGTGACAAGGAGCTGGCCTTTGTCCTTTCGCAGGCCCTTCTCTGACCCCTGAGGATCCTGCGCTGTCTCCTCTGCTGACACCACTCAACACCTTCCCAGGAAAAGCTCCACACATAAACAACAATAGAAATAACAGCACTCGTGTGTATAATCCCTGCTCGAGCTGGGGTGGCAACGACTCCTCAGGGGAGACAGCACTTCCCCAAAGGTTCCGATGGTCTTTTTCATTATGTGCTGAGTTTGTAAGGTTTTCTACAACTAGAATTAGAAATATTTTGAACTGCCTTGAAAGTTACACCAGAAGCAGTAAAATTCATTAATCCTGAAGTTAATCTATTCTTATTCATTTGGATGAATTCTCAGTAAATTCTCCATCTTTGTTATAGGTAATCGGGACATTCACAATGTTCTACAAAATACATTTTCATCCTTGCATCTATTGTGAATGTGGCAGAAATTCCAGGCAAAACGTGGGCTCCATTTCAAAGACTGAGAAGTGGAGTCAGGGACCCTGGATTCCCGGGGTCATCCTCATCTGTAAAGAACCTCCTGGCTCCTGATGCGCCTGTTTCAGGTCACAGGTCCTTCATTGGGTGAGGGATGGTCAGAGACACATCTGTGTAGGTGCACACAAAGGTGACAGCACTGTCCCATGTCAGCCACATCCAGCCCCAGCCTACCCCCACCCTTGGCCATCAGCCCAGAGCAGCGGGTCCTGAGCCAGGTCTGTGCCTCCTCCCTGCCCACTGCTCTCCTCCCCAAGCTCGCCTTCATCACCGTGACAGACACCTGTTTCTGGACCTCAGCCCCGACTTCCTTCCCTCCTCCCTCAGACACAGTCAGGTCATGGGGAATCCCAGCAGGGTCCCCAGGGCTAGTGTGGCATTGATGCCTTTATGTGCGATTTCTCATTCTTTGCTGAGATTTCCACCTCTTCATCCATTCTACCATCTTTTGTTCAAAGGCCTCGAGTGAGTCTATCAGACCACCCTCACACATCACAGGTTTGGAACCAGCAGCTAAAACATGGATTCATTTACTGTTCCTTTACTTCTCTGGCATGGCTTCACAGTGCTCAGGGAACAAGTCTCCATTTTTCTTAGGTTCATCCCAAGGCTGTCATGTTGATCCTGTTTTCAACGCTGCTATGTGCTCTGTCATACCCAGCTGCAATCCCTTTTCCTCCATTCTCCTCCTGGGGTTCTGGGCATGCATGCACACACTCCTGGTGTGATTTTCTATTCTCTATGTCCAGGACTTGAACAGTGATCTAAAGTGTGGGAGTCCAGTGCCTTAACCACCATGCCACCTGCCCAAGAACATGTATTTTATTTTTGGAGAGGTTTTTGCTATAGGGTGCATGCGCTTGCCAGACAGACAAACAGAGAGACAGAAAGCGAGAAATCACCCCCCAGGGGGGGATGGCCATGCTGCAATCCCTTCTCCTCTGTTCTCCTCTTGAGATCTTGGGCACGCCCGCACCCGCACCCGGCATGTGTTTAAGCCACCGGGTCCGGGACTCGAACCGCAGTCGACTATGTGGGAGTCCAGCGACATAGCCATTACACTAACTGCTGGTCCCCAAGAACATGTATTTTTAATTGTGTCATTGTTGCTAGCCCAGGATTGTGCTTTGCCTACAGCTCCCTCATAGCGGTTGGGGTTGACTGTGAGGTCCATATTGAAGCTCAGACCAGAAGCCTCCCTGAGTCACTCCTAGACCCTGAGCTAAGCTAGGCCTAAACCAGCCTCACTGGGCTCTGCCAGTATCAAGATGAGCATCTTAAAAACCAGCCACCGCCTGCTCCGTCCTCACAAAATTCAGATCTAAGGTCACAAAGGTCAGGATCAGGGTCTTTGAGCTTTTAAATTTATTCAAAGGGATAAATTTTAATGCAAAATTGATGCCACTGTAGAAGCAAGCTGTATCTCTCTCCTTTACATATGACTTTTTTTTTTTTTGGAG